TACCTTAATCTATTTTAACCTTATCTTACAATAGAAAACCCTAAAGCATAAAACTTAAATCTTATTTATACCTAATTCTTTTTAACAAAACATATTTATACATAATTCTTTTTAACATTTCTACTGAAACCAAATAGTTTCATTCCAACATTTTTCTAATACTCATTAATTTTACAATGATTTTCTAAATGAATTTTTAAAATTTTCTTCCAATCTTCATCCATCGTCTGTTCTTCCTGGTCTCGGGTTTTGTCAGTCCTTTCTGCTCCATCCATCTAGTCCATCAACCTGGTGACCTTCTATCCGAGGCTCTTAAGTCTTTTCCATGTCCCTTCTGCAGGTCTTCTTCATGTTTATACCTGCACTTTACTTTATCTTCTGCTGATCTTATTCTTAATTTCCTTCCTTTCTCTCGGGGAGACTCCAACTTGACAATATCTTTATCCCTTCTCAACAAGTCAGCCCATTCTCCATAGTCGACACTGAAATCCAAAAGATATTTAAAGGCATGTTTCAAAGTCCCTCCAAGATTAAGGGCCCCCACAACTCCGAACTCCCCCTGGCCCAAAGCCAGATCCAAAAAGTCAAAACATCCCTGCATAGGGGGATCTATCCAACTTCCCATCTCCAAACCAAACAGTACTCCATCTCTCCAAATCTGACTTTCTCCAGGTTCAGTCGTCAAAGACAGCAACTTAGGTTCCTGCAAGGCCGCGGCTCTCTCCATTTCTGATACTTGAGGTTCAGCAACTACCTCCTCCTTTATCTTCTTCACCACTTGCTCTGTCAAAGCACATTCCTGGATTGATTCCTGAGTGGTTTCTATATAAGTATTCACTGTTTGTCCAAAATTTCCAACTGCAACAGTCATCAAATCCATCTTCTCATGTAGCTGTTCCAGTAAAGCACTTGTCTTGCAAAAAGCAAGCACTAAAGCTTCTTCTGGGCACATTCTTGTTCAAGGTCGGTGTCTAGTTCCCACGATCTTTTATCTCTACAGCTGTAGAATTCCCCAGATCGACTCCAGCAACAGTTTCACAAGCTCCCTCTAGAGGAAACAATTTCTATTTGTATCCGTCTTTTTAAAAGCAGATCTAGCAACAAAATTCCTTTCGTTTTCCAGATATTTTGTTCCTTTTAAGTGCAAAAGGGAACATTGGAATCAATATGTTTCTCTTTTTTAACTGTCTGTCAAAAACGTTTTGTCCACAGTCAATGAACTTCCCCAATGTGTCTGTCTCTGACACCCCGCTCCCAGGATCAAGACGGTGGAAATTTATCTTTCTTTACTCTCTCTTCTGCAGGTTTAAACAGTCTAAAAAGATTTCCCCCTCTTCTCCTGCTTCCAAGGGGGGTTTAGTGATTTTAACTGATGGAAATTTAGTCCTTTACAAACGACTTTCCAGACTCTAGCTTGCAATGTCTTTGCTTCAATCTATTTACAAAAGCGGAAGGCGGACTTCCTGTTTAGACCTTCCCGCTTCGGTGCCAAATTAAGAAGTTTCATAATCCAATTTTCCGTTCTACTCACGGGCAGTTGTTTAAAATCCAATTGTCCACAGGAAAAAGTCAGCGCTCTCCGGCAACAGCAATGCGGCTTCACTCCTTGAAAAAAGCAGTTGATTCAAAGCACCGCGCCATTCACCCCACGTCGCTCCGGATCCCCGAAACCGGGTTTCCCCGCAAGTAGGGGAGGCGCAAAAGGTGCCAGCCGAATCCCACGTCCACAGGCTTCTCCCGCCTGTGTTTTTTAATGGGTCTCCGCCTCGCCGCAGCGGTCAACACCCTAATTCTCACGAAGTGGATTCCTCCTGGTCAGAGGAAATCCGCCATTGCCGGAGGCGCTAACCCGGAAGTTCCTGCACAACGGAAGTTCCCAGCAACCTGTGCTGGTATGTAAACAGACTTGTGACACTCAACAGTTCCATATCTGCTCCTTAAGGTGGAATGGAAATCTCAACCTCGAGTAGGTGGCACCAGACCAATGTCCCCATCCTTGTCCCTGCAGAGTTTTACAAGGGCAACACTGAGACAAAGGAGAAGTAAGCAGACAACCAGGGCTACCCTCTGTACTGACTATAAGTAAGAAGGCAGGTGGTCTTGGACGAATCAAGAGTGAGATTGGTGGGCCAGTGCCTAATAGACCATCCTCCACTACTGACAATCCTGCAAGGTATGTTAAGTTGAGAGATAGCAACTGGCCTAGGGTCACCCAGTGAATTTTATGGCTGTGTTGGGATTTGAGCCTTGGTTTCCCCAACCCCACTCTGGCATTCTTAACCACTACACTGCTGTGGTGGCTGTCATGGCTTCAAGCTTGCAGAAGGAAACTACAAGCCTAGGGCTGATTCATGGGCTTTGAATTACCAGCATTGGTCTGGAACCCTCAAAACATAGTCACCTATACCTGGCTCATCAAGGAAATTGATGGCTTCCCATGCTACCACACTTGCCCAATAGCACAGAGAGCATTCAAGGAAGGCAAAGAAGTAGTCATCTGCAGGCCAAGGGGTTTGTCCTTTAAGAACTGCAGTCTGTAGGCCAAGAGGGTGGAGCTTCAGAAAGGTGGGTGTAGGAGGAGGAGACTTATAAGGCCCAATTCACCTCTGGAACAAGTTCCTTACTTGGAACTATCCATGGTTCTGAAGCCACCAGCCCACCTTGCAGCCTTGCTGCTGCGGGTACTGACAAGGTCAAAACAAGGTCACAATATTTTGTTGAAGCTGTTTACTTTTTACTCTTCATTCTTGATTAAAGCAAAGCCTAACTTCGTTTGCTCACATCCATCCCTTGTTACTCCTGTCTTCCCTTGTCTCCCTTTCTTGCCCAGCTTCTAAAATTCATGAGCTCTTTAGGCTGGGCCTTGTCCTTCCAGTGTGAGCCACTCTGTGGTGGCATTATCTGGGAATCAGCTTGCTCTCCCTATTCCCAGTTGAAGACCCATCTGTTCTTCAAGAAAAGGATTACCTAAGTGGCAGGCTTCCAAGCTCCAAATTGGAGGCGCCAGAAACTATCACAAGCTGCCACATCATGGTTACACTTTTTTTAACTCAGTGGCCTGGGAAAGACCACCATTAAGAATGTATTGGGCAAGATACCACCTGAATGAGATGCACACAGCAACTGCAACCAGGCAAAAATCTAATTCAATGCACTGCAGCACAGGTGGTTTGGAGATTCCTATCAGCAACCCTAGCCTTGCTCTGCTCTTGGCAAATGTGCTGAGGTCACCTTCCTAATCCAATCTTTCTGTGATGCAGTCTGTTCCCCAAGCCATCCTGGTCCTAACTGAGTTACATTTAAAAGCTACATGCTGTAATTTTGAACATAACACCACTTCAGCAACCCAGAGGGAAAGAGGCGGTTGTTTTTCCTCGTCTGTGTTTGCAAGAGACAAATTACCTTCAATGAAACATGTCGGCACCATCGGAGATCAGGTTGCATAGGAAAAGGATGCTCAGCCTCCATCAATTCCATGTCTAAGCCTGGCTGTGCTGGATCATATGCACAGTGATTATGAATAGCAGGAATCAGCTAGACTAGACACAGTGGTTCTCAACCTGTGGGTCCCCAAATGTTGTTGAACTACAACTCCCATCATCCCTGAGCTCTGGCCTTGCTAGCTAGGGGTGATGGGAGTTGTAGTTCAACAACACCTGGGGACCCACAGGTTGAGAAAGGCTGAGCTAGAGGGAGGTTGGAGCCTCCACTTCAGGAGTAGGCAGACTCAGCCTTGGAACTTGCTGTAAGGTCTCTGCCTGGAGCTTGGACACTCAGACCTTTTCTAAGGCAATGTTGTAAAGACTTCCTAGGAGTACAAAAGCCCCCCCCAAGCCCCTCCCTCCATTGATTCCATTCCCAAGACTGTGCCAAAAAACTCCGTCTGTAAAAGCATTTTTTCAACAATCAATGAGAAACGAAATTGCATTCAAGAATTATCAAATAAGAATCAAAATTTGTTAAATCATCATAGGTTGGGTGTGGGTTTTAAATTTTGGGGCAGGGGCTAATTTTACTTTCAAGGTGGCCAAAGCAGGTGTGTGGGCATCCTTTCTTTCATTATACAAGTCACTCTCTGATGGTTGGCATTCTGCAGCCTTCCTGGGTGCCCGTGCTTCCTGAAACCTCCATGATGTCATCAGTTGTTTCTCCACACCCCTGTAAGCACAGGAAGGCAGGAAGGCTTCCTACTGCCTGGCAGCTGTTTATTGGAGGAAGATGTGGCCTGGTGGGAGGGGTGTCATTGGAGAGATTTCTGAGGGGCAGATGGATAGTTTACGCGGGCTGCATTCAATCCCCAGGCCTGAGATTATTCAACCCTACCTTGATGGATTGAGCTAATGAAGTTACACAAAGCACTGCTCATTGCAGATCCTGGCATTTAACAAAGAAGTGACATTTAGTTATTCCTTTATCTGTCTTGAGGCTTCATTTAGTGTGTGTGTGTGTGTGTGTGTGTGTGAGAGAGAGAGAGAGAGAGAGAGAGAGAGAGCGCAACTGTGTAACTTAAAAAAGTTATCTGATGGATACCAAATGTTGCACTGAAATGCACTCTCTTTATCCGTCAAGAACTGACAAAATAGCAGCCTTTTCTTGCCCACATTCCAATCTACACATTATAGAAATTGAGATCTTTCATCATTCTCTCTGCCCCTAGCCTTGAGCAATGCTCTCCTCTGTCCCTCGATGCATTTTGGGCACCTTTGAAATCTTTATGGCTTTCATATTTGTGCCCTGCCAAAGTCCTTGGACAGGATAGCTACAAATTGAAACCAGTAAATAAAAGCTTAAATAGGTTAGCACAGAGAAATAATTGATCTGACACTGAGCACATCCATTCCCACCCCCCTTTGGCAGTCTATTTGACCTGCGGTCATGTCAACAAGAAGGGCCAAAATAGCCCCCAACCCTCTCTAAGGAGCTTTTGTCCTAGGTAGATGCTGTCTAAACAAAGCTGGGAGGTCAAGCAAAACCCTCACAGTCTGAATTATGAAAGGTATAAACAAGGCAACCCATAATTTCTCTTTTATTACATATACTCCAGTTTTCTTTGGCAGTGCCGATAGCTGTGGTTTATGAGGACCAATTAACTCATGACGGATTTCAGCGGCTGACTGAACTCACTCAGTGAGCTTCTCCCTAGTGCATCCATCCCTATACTGAGAAACTCATTCCCTTTAGAGCAGTGGCTTCAGCAGTGGTGAGGTGAGGCATCCATGGCACCCTGGACAGCTCCATGCAGGGCTCTGGCTGGAGTCTTCGTAGGAGCAGAGTTCAACAGTTGCTTCAGCACCAGTCATCCTGACACTGAACCTTAAATAGGTGCTGCAGCTCTGACTCAGTAGCTTGTTCCACCTTCTGTGATGGGAACTTCTTCATTTAAAATGACCCAGCTTGCTTTAGTAGCTGTTGAAGTCAATTGAGTAGGGGAGGTAGTGGTTCCACTAGGGTTTCTGAGATGGGAGTCCTGAGAATATAAGAATATAAAGTTAGCTTGCTGAATCAGGCTAGTAGCCCTTCTATTCCAGCATCCTGTTCTCACAGTGGCCAACCAGGTGCTTGTGGGAAGCCTGAAAGCAGGACATGAGCACAACAGCAATTTATCTAATCTTCAGAGTTAGAAGAGGGCAGAATGATGTCCTTGGGTCAGAAAAGTGCTGGCACATCACGCCCTTCTTGCACAAGTTGTTCTGGTTTACTTTGTACATTGTGGACTATCTTTGAGGACAATGCCCTCTTCAAATCCCCAGATTCCACGTTCCCAGCCTCATCACCTGAAGAAAGGCGTCCCAACACCAGGGTTGAATCCTGTGGAAACCTACTTCACAGACAAATTATAGAATCATAGAGTTGGAAGGGACCCAGAAGTTCATCTAGTCCAACCCCTCTGCAATGCAGGAATCTCAACTAAATCATAGATGACAGGTGGTCATCCAACCTCTGCTTAAAAATCTCCAAGGAAGAAGAGTCTACCACATCCCAAGGGAGTCCTTGCACTCCTTTTATGGTGGGCTCATAGCTATTTGAAAATGCTATATTATGTGCTGACTAGGTTCAGAGCAAGTTGAGTTTTCTTCAGCTCAGGTTCAGTGGGTGAAATGGCCATTGCAAAAGTTCATATCCTGCTCATATTTCAACTCAGGAAATTTCATGCTTTGTCAGCAAATCTTCAGAATTTTCCTTTCATGCTTGAACACTTTTCACACCAGGTTTGAAGAATGAGAGAATGAGTTTTAAAAGCTTGTTGCCAAATCTTCAGGGAGCACACTTTCCAGGCAGTGCTTTTACCCCAAAATCTTACAGCAGGGGTGGGCAATATGATGCCCTCTATATGCTGTTGGACTCAAACTCTCATCACCCCTGACCATTGACTATGCCAGCTAAGGCTGGTGTGAGTTGAAGTCCAACAACATGAAAATGGTGTTGCATTGGCTAGCTTTGATCCATAATATCTTCCCTTCTGCAAGTGTGTGTGTGTGTGTGTGTGTGTGTGTGTGTGTGTGTGTCTATTTCAATTTAGAAGAAGTTATTTTATTTTATCCGCATTCAAACTCTGTTTTGGAGACTTACTCCATTTATTCTCCATCTGTGGAGAAGATTCATTTAAAAGTGGGGAGGGGTTTCTTTTGCTAACAGCAGATGGGGCAGGCTAGCAAGAAGCCAGGCGTCATGCTTTCTGCACTCCCTTCTTCCCCTTTTGCTACAGCAAGAGAAGCCGAGACGTTTTATTAAGCCCTCTGGAACATGTTTTATTATTGTTGTCAGTTGCTCATGGAAACTCTTCAGCGTTAATAACTTCCCGCTCACCGCAGGCCCGGGCTGCTTCGCTGAGGGGTTTCCTGGATCTAAATAAACAGAGTGTGCTTTGCAAAGCAGAGGCAGCCAAAGTTCTCGGCATTCACTTAATGCTCCCTCGGCTGTCACTCTTTGCTGACAAACTCCTGGTTCTAAGATCAGCCCAAGCGCAAAGCTGGAAGAGAATGGAGAGACTGCTAAACCAAACTGACTGCACTTGAGTTCATCTCCAGGGTCTGGGGAACAAAGCCAGGCTGGGGAGATGGGCAGGGAACAGGGACGCAGTGCTAAAATTGGAAGAGCATTAGGCTGTTATGATGGCTGCCCACAGCCACGTCCCCAAGGAGAGTACATAGTCCTTCCCCAAAGAAGAATAAAAAACATGCAGACAGCTGTGTTGGTCCATTATTGTGTGTGGACGGGCAAGTATGTGCACATATGTACATGCACACCCTCCAGAGAGCAACAGTTTATAGTTTAATGCCCATTTTATTAGAATCTGCATAACAGCTATCCTGTGCATAGTTTCTTCAACTCCACTGGGCCTAGCAGTGCTTACTTCTGTCTGGGTTAAACTTGTAAAAGAGTATCAGCCAGCTGAAATGCAGCCTTTAGCTTTTAATCATAAATTGCAAAGAAGTGTTGCCAGTTAACTCATTGCTTTGACAACAATAACTTCAGCTCTGGAGATTTTGATGTCAACTGTCCACCAGATATTCTGTAAATCTTCTAAAATTGGGTAGCGGTGTTGCCATTAGATGACATCTGAGGTCAGATTTGATACTGGGTTGTTGACTTGAAAAGATATTTATATCTGACAGCAAAGATCTTTAAAGATTTTCCTATTTGCCATATGTTGGAATGAAAATAATAAGCAAGCTGGACCCTCTGGGAATATGGATTCTCAGGTACAATTGCAAATTCAGGCTTCACATTTGAAATTCTGAATTTATTTATTTTTTTTAAAAAAATGGTTTTATGTATATATTTGTATGTGAATCTTAGCCATCTTTTAATTCATAGTTTTATTTGTACGCTACTTGAAGAATTCTTGGATAGCTCAGTTGGTTAGAGTGTGGTGCTGATAATCCCAAGGTCACAGGTTTGACCCCCGTATGGGCCAGCTGCATATTCCTTCATTGCAGAGGATTGGACTAAATGATCCTTGGGTCCCTTCCAATTCTGTGATTCTCTGAAGTTTATACAGTTTCTTAAAAAAATATTTTTTTTGAGGGGAATCTCTCTTTTTTTAGAGAGGGGAATATGGAATAATAACTCACTGTTGCAAGGAAAATTGCCCTATATATGAACACTTCATTGACCTCTCTCTCTCTCTCTCTCCCTCCCTCTCCCTCTTCCAGCATCCTTCTTCTGTGTACTAGGAGATAAGCACTTTGGAAATGCATATGGCTGCTGCAAGGATGTGTCTCACCATTAAAAAAAAAATTCTAATGTTGTTCACAAAGGCTGGCTTCTGGAGGCCAATTCTTGACTACATTACAGACACTTTGAATATATTACTGACACATTTGATTTTTCATTATCTGCAGTTCCAAAGAAGTCAGCATTAGGAAGCCATTCCCTGTAAGGAGGAGTCTGCCTGCCTCCCATCCTCTCTCCAGAGCTCTCTCTTCAATCGCGTTCTGGAGATACTTCAGCCAAGAACACCATTTTGTTCTCCTGCCTGACTTTAAGTTTGCAGATGACACCACCATAATGGGTTTACTAACACGTGGAGAGGAATCAGCGTATAGAGGGGAGGTCCAAAAAATATCTACATGGTGCCTAGGGAACAACTTGCACCTTAATATCAGCAAGACAAATGAGATGGTGTTGGACTTTCGGAGGAAGAGAGGAGAACTAGGCCCACTGTACATCGGGGAGGGCTGTGTGGAGAGAGTCTCTTCCTTTAAATTCCTAGGAGTTTATCTCAGTGAAGACCTTACTTGGAAAATAAACACAACCCAGGTGATTAAGAAAGCCCAACAGAGACTCCATCTCCTCAGAATATTGTGAAAGAATGATGTCAATCAACATTTGATGATCTCCTTCTACCGGTCAACAATAGAAAGTGTCCTTTCATACTGCATCAAGGTGTGGTACGCTGGTTTGACATCAACTGATAGGAAGTGCCTACAGAGGGTGGTGAATACAGCACAAGATATTATGGGCTGTCCCATGAATCCGCTGGATGAAATAGCGGAAGAACGTTGCCTCAGGAGAGTGAGGAAAATTTTCAGGGATGATTCACACCCTGGCCGGCACTTTCTTGATCTCCTGCCCTCAGGCCGAAGATATAGAAGCATGATTAGTCGCACCAACAGGGTAAAGAACAGCTTCTGTTCATGGGCTGTTAGGCTGCTGAATGAAAAGATGACAACAGGGCAACTGACTTTCGGGTTTGGTGTGTGTGTGTGTCAGTAAACGAGGGGAATTAAGACTAAGAGAGCTGAGTGGGGGGTGCTCATGTGATCTCACTGCGTATAAGCTGTACAAGTGACAATAAAGTATTTCAATTTCAATTCAATTTCAATTTCAATTCAAAGCTCTCTTGAAGATGAGTTTGTGGACAGCCTTCAGAGCTCAGCTGTCCAGCTGGCAGGGCCAGCTCTAAGTCTGGAAGGCCCTTGAATAGGACACCCTTTATGAGGAGTCTGTCTCCCCACTGCCATGATCACCAGTTGTTCCCCCTCCTTCCCCTTCATCCTCATTGCTATCACCTGCTTGTTTGCCAGTGTGCCAGACAGACCTTGGGTCAGCCTCCTGGTGACCCAGAAACCAATCAGGGCTGGGTGGAGGGTCCATCCAATCAGGAGAGAGTAGGAAGTTAACAGTTGGATCCTGACAGTTTAACTGTCAGATAGGGCTTGTCTTTCAGTGAGTTCTAATTAGGGCTTGGAAAGCACTTAGATCAGTTTAGAGCCTGGTTAGGGTTAGCTACGGTGGGCAACCCAGATTGTTTCCTCAAGGGGAATGTAAAGATCATAGACAAGGCCGGGAGTGTTTTACTTGTAGTGTAAAACCAATAGGCATTCTAGGAGGAATTAGTTTATTCAGAGACAAGCTTAAAGGGTGAAATTTAGGAAAGTTCTCAACTTGCTAGAATTAATTTTAGCCAAGATTTCATTTCATCATCAAAGGAGGGGATTTCTGAATGCCCATTTCAAGGAAGTTCTATGGAGTTTTGTAGTCTAGATCAGGGGGGGGGAAACGTGACCCCACGCAGGTGTTTTATACCTCATTTTATGCCTAGCACAGGAGGGGACAAAAGGTTGCCTGCTCTGCACACAATTTCAATTGTTCAAAGAATGTGATTACAATTTGCCTCTATTGTTAAAGCTCAAGCTTGCAGATAATCACTTTGTTTAACTTTGTTTCTCTTCCCTGCATTCTCAGTGGATTTTATGTGGAAAAAAGTGTCAGAAATCCCTTTCAAGCTGCATTTATTATTGTTAATAATGGACAAAAGTGTTCCTTTTAAGAACCACCACCAGTACAAAGCAGGAATATTTTACACTGAAGCAGTCCTGTTGCTATTGTAATAGTAATTTTCTTAGCTGTTTGGGGGGGGGCAGTGTACGCAGAGGGAACTATATTGGTCTCAGGAAAGGAAAGAGAAAAATGACAAAGGTGACAGCTTATTAATAGGAATGTTCCTGGTTTTCTGCTCCCAAAACCATGTAATTGCTGTTGTGGTTAAGTGTGCCAGACAGGCAACAATCTTGCAAAATGTCTTTGCCCTGACTATCCCTGACCTGGTTGCCCTCCACATGTTTGACACCTGAGGCAGACAGGCATCAAAAACTACAACCTTAATGAGCTGTCAAGAACTTTGTCAGATGCATCGTGCCTCTGAACACCAGTTGCTGAGAGTTGCAGTTGAAAGCACACCAAGAACTCTGGCCAATATAAGTTTCAATAGTGGGAGTGGTCCCTACTCGCAAATCATAGTCAGTTGTAACAAAAACTAATCCATTCAAAAGTTTGTAATCCTTGTCAGAATACATACTTTTGAATGGATTAGGTTTTGTTACAATTGACTATTGATTTGCGAGTAAAGACCACTCCCACTATTGAAACTTATATTGGCCAGAGTTCTTGGTGTGCTTTTTTTCTTGGTATATTTAATAACAAGAACTCCAACTTATTTAACGAGAGTTACAGTTGGGCAAAATGCTTTTGTACTCATATCCTGCTTGAAGGCTTCCCACAGGCATCTGGTTGACCACTGTGAGAACAGCATGCTGGACTAGATGTAAGTTTGACTGCAGAACATCAAAAGCTTTTGTTGGACTGGGAATGGGAAACCTGGGGCCCAGGGGCCAAATTCAACTCTCGAAGCTTCTCTGTCTGGCCCTTGGAACTCACTCCAGGCCACACCTTCGCTCCCTTGCTCACACTCCTCCCTGCCTTCACATCTTGACTGCATTCTTCTTTGCTGGCCTGTGTCCTTGAACTCTGATTCTGTCTGTTGTTTGCCTGGATGGAGGATAGAGAGGGGTGTGTGAATATCTGTCAAATCTAGCCTATTGTACAAATGCAGTGTTTTTTCTCTTAAAAAATGTTTAGGGGTACTCTCATTTTGACTCAAAAAACCCACCATTTTATAGTTCAAATTGGGAAAAATAAATACAGCAAATGGACAAAAGTACAAAGAACATGCATTATCACACAACACCGTTGTCCCATCTTTTGTTTTTACATAGTCATCATTAACTTTACACTTCTTTGCTGGCTGTGATGATGAAAAATGGTTAGTAATTTTCCTACTCATATTGAAATACTGCCCCTCAATGAGGCCAAACTTTCATTAGTAAAAAACCGCACATCCACATTCCACACTGCTTCACACATCAAACGCTCACTTCTGTCTGAAACTCAGGAAACACCGTGACAGGAAATGAGGCCGCCATTGGGATTAGCAACAGAACTGACGATTCACTGTGTTATTCAATGGAACTGACTATTCACCATGCTAGAGAAGAAACTATATATATATATACATATATATTAGTTTCTTCACCCATTAGGATTCACAAAATGTTTAGGGGTATGCATATTCCTGCATCCCTCCAAAAAAAAGCACTGTACAAAGGTAACATTTGCATTTGTTGCTCCACCTCCTTTTGCATGGCATGTGGCCCTCAGAAGGTTGCCCAAGATGGGAATGTGGCCCTTGGGCTGAATTGTTTTCTTCTCAACCTCAGAACGTAGGGAATAAATTACCCTACGAGCCTTTACCTGAGAGACGTTTACAGCTGCCATCCCAGCATTAGCAGAAGAGTACCTGACAGAGGAACAGGTGAGTGAGTTATTCCCTCCTCTTATACCTCCTCTCCTGTATACCTGAAGGACCATCTCCACCCCCATCATTCAGCCCGGATACTGAGATCCATCACCGAGGGCCTTCTGGCAGTTCCCTCACTACGAGAATGAGGTTACAGGGAACTAGGCAGAGGGCCTTCTTGGTAGTGGCGCCTGCCCTGTGGAACGCCCTCCCAGCAGATATCAAGGCAATAAACAACTATTTTACTTTTAAAAGTAGCCTGAAGGCGGCCCTGTTTATGGAAGTTTTTAATGTCTGACACTGTATTGTTTTTGATATTTGGTTGGAAGCCGCCCAGAGTGGCTGGGGAGACCCAGTCAGATGGGCGGGGTATAAATATATTAATATTATTATTATTATTATTATTATTATTATTATTATTATTATTATTATTATTAGATGTGCACGGAGCTCACTTGCACCTGCCTCCTCCTGCCACTGGGAAGTAAAACATTCTGAAGCCACAGCTTCCTCGGGCAAGGCTGTAAGTAACTGTGGCAAAACAGCTTTCAAATTGCTGCTATGCAAGCTACACACACACACACACACACACAGAGAGAGAGAGAGAGAGAGAGAGAGAGAAGCACACACACATACATCAACCTACACTGAGCTGCTTAGAAACACTGTGCATTGGAAAGGAGACCAATGTGCTTTTTAAGCTCACGATGCATGTAATTGCAACCATAGTGATAACAGTGATTTTAACATTCAAAACTGCATCATTTTTTAAAAAAAGTCACATGCTGAGCTTCACCAACATACATCCCAAACTTTAGCGGTGCTGGTTTTCAATAAGCTGGAAATAAAAGGATTTTTTCTCGATTCCTATTTCTTGTGCTGGTCTCACTCACCTCTCTCCATTTTGAAGTTTTCTTTGCTTCTTAACTCCGGAGTCTTTCTTGATAAAACCTTGTGATACACCTTGGGAGAGTTGCTGGCAGTGCTGAGTCTCCCTCCCCATCTCCCCCACCCTGTCATGGCACAGCCAGCCTTAGTCATTATTCTTTGCAGTCTGTCAACATGTTCACATATCCTGAGTCCTCATATCTTTCCCCAACTGGCTATCTTCATTCCTCTATTTCTAGTCTCGCAGCCTTCATGAACTAATGACTACCATCTCAGCAGAACTCTTCGCTGATGGGCTTGTTCCCTTCTTTTCAAAGAGTTCCAGGCTGTGATCACTGTCATTTCTTAGCTCCAGTCCTCTGCCCTTACATGCTAACACCAGGAGTCTGACAGCCGCAGAAGTGACAGTCATTGAAATGGGTGAAATGCCATGGGCCAACTGGAAATCCAGGGAATGTGGTCATGGCTCCAAGGACCTAGGAAAGGCTTTCCAGGTTATGGGCAGAAATGAAGAGTCTTAGTCATCTGGATGCACTATTTATTAAAATCCCCAAAGGACTATCACACAGAAGAGGGCCAAGACTTGTTCTTTGTTGCTCAAGAGGGCAAAAGACTAGATTGAATGAGCTAAAGTTATTAGAGGGTAGTTTTCAACTGAGCATTAGCAGAAATGTCCTGCTGGTCAAAGCAATTCAACAACAGAAGCAATTAACCTAGAGGGCTCTCTGTGTGTCAGACCTTCCAAGTGTCCCTATTTTCCAGGGACGTCCCCAATTTACAGAAGCTGTCCTGGTTTTCTGATTTGATCCCAGAATGTCCCACTTTTCCTTAGGACGTCACTATTTGCATTGGAGAAATATCAAAGGGTATGGAGTTATCCAACCACTAAGCCATCTGAAGACAGCCCTGTATGGGGAAGGTTTTTTTAAAAAAATGTTTTATGTTTTATATATGTTGGAAGCCACCCAGAGTGGCAACCCAGTCAGATGGCTGGGTTATAAATAGTAAAGTTCCTTTTAATGTTATTATTATGGAATAGGATGCCCCTATTTTCATCAGAGAAATGTTGGAGGGTATGGTGTGTGTGTTTGTGTGGACTGCCCTTCACTGGAGGTCTGCAGTGGTTGGGCGTAATGTAGCACTGGATATCCTGTACTAAGCAGGGAATCAAAAGAAATTATTTACAACTCTAGGATTCTATTTCTGTTTCTATTATTTCTATTTCTTCTAGCCAATCTCAAGGCTTTAAAGGTAGCCTGCTTCCATCATAACATCATTTGCTTTAGTTTGAGCTTCTGATTTCCTGTGCAAATTGAAGACATGGGGGTTCTGGTCTGGATCAGGACCTGTGAGTGTTCATGTGAAGATTAAAGCTCCAAGTCCCTAACTGATGCATACTGACAATTTGTATAAAATAAGAGGTGAAAAAGGTAAAGGACCCCTGGATGGTTAAGACCAGTGAAAGGTGACTATGGGGTTGCAGCGCTCATCTCACTTTCAGGCTGAGGGAGCTGGTGTATGTCCACAGACAGCTTTCCCTGGTCATGTGGCCAGCATGACTAAACTGCTTCTGGTGCAACGGAACACCATGATGGAAACCAGAGCACACGGAAATGCCGTTTACCTTCCCACCGCAGCGGTGCCTATTTATCTACTTGCACTGGCGTGCTTTCAAACTGCTATGTTGGCAGGAGCTGCACAGAGCAACGGGAGATCACTCCATTGCAGGGATTCAAACCACCGACCTTCGAAAAGTGGAAAAGAAACTGCTGGACAAACAATTCGGATTGGAATACAAAAGAGGGCGGTATGAGGAAGTCCAGAAAATAAGTAATTTAAAAATGGAAATGGAAAAGAGATATTGTTTTTAATTGTTATGGGTTTTTTTTATGGTTGAATTTTGTTTTGTTTTTTGTGTGTGTTGTTATATGTATTGCGTATGTTTTTCTTTTCTTTCTTTGTTGTTTAAAACCTTAATAAATTTAAAAAAAAAAAAAACCACCGACCTTCGGATCTGCAAGCCCAAGAGGCTCAGTGGTTTAGACCGTCTGTATAAAATACCTTGTACTTAAAGGCATAGCTATGTAGCTAATGTAATGTGTAGTTTGGCCCTCACAGTAAAATAAGGTTCACATATTGTTTTGGGGAACTGTAAGTAGGTTTTCTTTAATACCCAGTTTCCCTTATATACCTAACCAGAAGCTCATTCAGGATCCTTGGAGAGCTTTGGAGATGTGATTCTATTTTTGCTTGGTAATTATTATGGATCCTTTTGGGAATCATCTTCCCTTGCCCATCATCCCAAATGCTAGTACAGCAGGATGTACAGAGTTTGGAAAGTCTGCAAGGAGGCAACTGGAAGTGCCTCCACTTAACACTCCAATAACTGGAAGTGCCTCCACTAAACACGAACCCTACCAATCTGTTTTGTTTTTTTCAGGTTTCATCATGTGAGAGTAATTACCAAGACCGCTGAATTGTCACGAGGCAGAATAAAATAAAGATTACAAAGAACTTTGCTCACTAAGAAGCAGCTCCATAAATGATAATAAAGCTCTCAGAAGCAAATAAACAATTGAACTGAAACTGCAGAGAGGTATGAAAATGCCAGCTACATATTGATGTCCTAATTGACTTACGGGACAAAGGTCTGGATTTGAACCCAGTGAAATAAATACCCTTAAACTAGAATTATTTGGGTGTAAAGCCAAAGGAATAATGTGGAGAGGCTTGTTCAAAAATAAAAATGCAGAAAGAAAACAAAACACAGTCCGAGGACGTTTTTGTACTGAAGATCATCTTTAACTGGGATTTTATGGTTTGGCCTTTTAAGCATGCTGGGAGGTAAGGAAAGAGGGGGAGTATCTATTCCCCCAAGTCAAAACCATTAAAGTAAAAAATGGGTTTCGATAAAGCATGACATAAAAACAAGAAATAACTGTAAATGCAATAGAAAGTAAATGGCATCACCTCCTCCTCCTCCCCCCCAAGTCAGAGCTGCCCGTTGTGACCGCATTTTTGTGGCTGCAACGTGATCGCAATCCGGACCTCATTTCAAGGAATTTACAGCTTATGGTAATATAAAAATGATTCTGCAAGCACACACAAGCATTTCTGTTTTGCCTGAAAAATTAAGCCTGAGAAGCTATTTGGCCTCGCTCCCACCTTGTTCTCAAGCTGAGCAATACTTTACTAAGCTGGGCAAAGTTGGGTATCATTTGTAGATCTAATTTGTTCCTTTTCTGGGTTGATCCAGGCGATTAGTTGAGGCAAACCGCCAAAGCAAAAAACATTAGAATGTAAGAGAAAGCACCCGAATGATTCAGCCCAAGCTCCATGTTTCTAGACCACATTGTTTTCAACAGCCTCTGGGAAGTTTGCCTCTAGGAAGCTTGCGAACAGACATGCTTTGCCAGTACCAGCCCTGGGAGGGCATCCATTTTGCCTGCTCACTGCCCATTGGTTTGCTTCTCTTTCTGTGCCCAAACTGCAACAGCTCCCAGAGAAATAGGGAGCAAGGCATGTGGAGGTTATGTCCTCCTCACTCCTTTCACTGCTTTATGGGCAGGCAAGGCCCAGGAGGCTCCAGGTATTGGTGACGGGCCACTGGAGGGCACCAGGTTGGGTAGTGCTGGTGTAAGTCTCATTCACAATTTGACTGTTTTCTTTTGCATTGCAAAAAACGGTGGCTCTTCCTTTTTACTGAAACTCAGCCCGCTCAAGAGATCTGATGGATGAATGGCTTCTTAATTTCTAAACTCAAGATGAGGTCCTATTCTGAATGAAGAGGCTGCATAATGAACCTCAAAATAAGTGATTGCCAAAATCCGAAAGCGGAAGCACCATGTGAAAAAGGTGGAAAGGGAGAACAGAATAAAAAGAAGAAAGAACGATTTGATGTGCACAGTGGGGCTCTATTTCTTCAACAATGGATGGCAGCTCAACATCCCAGAATATTACTATGCGCCACTTAATATTTCAATGCAAAACTGTACAATTCAGTTCCTCCAATGCAAGAGTCACAGTTTCCTTCCAGGCTGTGATATATGTGAGCTCATCTCCATTGCTGTCACCCACTTGCTGCGGGAAAGGCTGATTGACAAGTGATAATCAGGAGGAAATAAGTTTGCATTTAATATTTTATTATTTCTGCTTGAGCAAATATGTGGGGTGCTTCATGCTGTGCATAAAAGTTCCTGCTTACAGCTGGTACACTGAAGAAGGGCAGTTTTGGTAAAGATGACCTGCTAGATCTGGACTTCAATAAAGGGACACTTTACAAGGCAACTGGGAATCTGCTGCTTTTAAATGGGGGTGGGAGTGATTATGTAGGAAACTGCCTTATATAGAGTCAGATTGTTGCTCCGTCGAGCTGAGTATTATCTACATTGACTGACAGCAACTCTCTAGGGTTTCAGGCAATGAATATTCCCAGATTTACCAGGAAATGCTGATGGGGATTGGGCCTGGGGCATTCTGCACAGACCCCCCAAGTGTCCCTATTTTTACAGAAGCCACACTGGCTTCTTGTTCGATCTCAGAATGTCCCGCTTTTCCTTAGGACATCCTTGGAGAAATGTTGGAGGGTATGTACTGCATGCAAAGCAGACACTCTACCACTGATGGTCAGATACCCCTAAGGACCTCATTTTGTTTTAAGTTGTTTTATATGTTTTAAAATATTCCTAGGCTTCTCTAGCAGGAAATACCTATCCAAAGTTGCTATGCTCTGCCTCCACTTGTTCTGAATACGCTTCTGAATACCAGTTGCTGGAAACCACAGGAGGGGAACATGCTATTTGCAGGCTGAGGGGTTTCCCATGAGTATCTGGTTGGCCACTGTGAGAATAGGATGCTGGACTAGACCAGCCTTTCAGTCTGATCCAGCAGCCAGGCTCTTCTTACATTCTTGCGCCTTATCTAAACACGACCCCCAACTACCTGTGCTTGTGGCCCATTGTCTTTTGATGCATGTGGCAGCAGCAAGACCCCACGTTTGACAACCAGAGAGCCCTTCAGTGTTCCTTATTTAACATTCCAAGGCTCACCAGCCACCGAACTTCCATACTTTGATGCCGTGCCAGTTCAGCAGAGTTATTTTTTCGGCTGCACGTCGAGTATTAATTTCCGTTAACACTTTGCCCTATTAATCACTTTAACAATCAAATTAAGACAATTATTTTAATGAGCTAATGGATAGTAAAGAGCGGAAGACACACATTTATGACCACTTACAGCCAGAAGACTTTGATAAAAGTCAGCCTTGTCAATAATATATTAGACCATAAATGTGCTCAGCCAGGGGCAGGAGGATGGGATGGTGACTGTGATGGATTTAAATACGAGGGTGCATCTGTTGCCGCTGTAATGTTTATGGCCTCAGTGACTATTACAACCAAATGTCAGTCATGGGGAATATATATAGGCTGGGATTCGTTCCTCCCGGGTGCTTCGTTTATGAAGGCACATGGTCATACCACTCCTGTCCATTTGTGGCCACCTCTCCTAATTCCTGCCCCAAAGCATGCAAGTTCTTACTTGGGAGGAAGGAAGAGATCTTTACTCAGGGAAATAGCAGTCCAAGCTCAGCAGCAGACACAGTGCTCAGGAATCACAGCTCAAGAGTTCAAAAGCAAGGCAAGAAATGCAAAGATGGAGAGAAGTGACAAAGATGTCCCAACAAATTTCCACACCCCACCCACCAAGCTTTTGAATTTGAGGCATAGCATGCTCACTTGAAAGGCTCACTAACCTTACAGGAAGCCTAAAATGGCGACGAAGGTAGCGGCTTAGTAAAGGCGTCTGCCTTTAGATTAAGTTTTAAGTAGTTTTAAGTAGTTATTTTAACCCCCCTCTGGGTTTTTATTGTTTTATTGTTTTTAGACTAAGTTTCAAGTAGTTCTAAGTAGTTTCTTTTAACCCCTCTGGGCTTTTATTGCTTTATTGTTTTATTACCTGCTTCGTGCTTCAGCCTTGCTGCCTTGCCGCACCCCCCGCTGTGCATTTGGTGCTGAGGAGCTGAGTAATCTTCTGAGACGAGTGAGTGGGGAAGGGAAG